CTACCCAGGGGACAGCTTGAGGCTCTGTCTCAAAAAAAAAAAAAAAATTATACTGCTGGCTAGGTGCCCATATCTCTGTGGTTAGGGTGCCAGCCATGTGCACCAGGAGTGGTGGGTTCAAACCTGACCCAGGTCTGCTAAACAGGGTGCCTGTAGTCCTAGCTATTTGGGAGGCTGAGGCAAGAGAATTGTTTGAGCCAAAAGTTTGAAGTTGATGTGAGCCATGACGACATGGCACTCTATCCAGGGTGACAAAAGTGAGATTCTGTCTCAATTAAAAAAAAAAAAAATACAAAACTATACTATCAAAACATAAAAATTAGACTGTCATTTTTTTTTTTTTTTTGAGACAGAGTCTCACTATGTCATCCTTGGTAGAGTACTGTGGTGTCACAGCTTATAGTAACCTTCAACTCTTGGGCTTAAGTGATTCTCTTGCCTCAGCCTCCTAAGTAGCTGGGACTATAGGTGCCCGCCACAATATCCAGCTATTTTTGTTCCAGCTGTCACTGTTTAGCTGGCCCAGGCCGTGTTCAAACCTCCCAGTCTCGGTCTATGTGGCTGGCACTGTAACCACTGTGCTATGGGCGCTGGGCCTGGCTATTTTTTAGAGACAAGGTTTGGCTCTGGCTCAGGCTTGTCTTAAACCTGTGAGCTCAGGCAATCTATCCGCCTCGGCCTCCCAAGCTAGGATTACAGGTGTGAGCCACCGCGCCTGGATCATGCTTTAAATCTTCAATTAATATATTATTTTGATATGACTAAATACATCAGACAGAAAAGAAACCTATCATTTCTTTTACATCTATGGTCTCTGTGACTGAAAGAAACATTTTCAACCTTACAATTTAAATATTTGTCCTAAAATAATCTCTCTACCTCTTTGCTGATGTCCGCATTTTGGGGTTCAGCTTCTTTTAGTCGAACAATTTCTGCTGCAGGGGTTTCCTGGTTTGGCTTTATATCATTTTCTCTAACCACAGTGTCCAGTTCCTTAATGTTGTCCTCCCTCTTCCGAGTCTGCCCAACAAATAACACAGCATTTTAGATC